TGAGACCGTGAATTCAACACCTTGCTATGGTAGGCAACTTTGCCTCATATCACTGCTTGAATAACCATGGGCTAGTTCATCACTGCTAGGTTGTTATGACTTCTATGCCTGCTTGAATCATCTGTTTGCATATGTCAAGTAAAAATGCTAATATAGGACTGAATGCAATGCATTGTTTCATTCTAACTCACGTTCAGCCTCATATATTTTCCTTTGCTTACAACCAACTATATTTTCCATATATTCTCCTGCATACTCCTTGACTAAGCAAGATCTATCTTCATACCTGCAGAATGCAACAAATCAAAGAATTTTCTTTCATACTTTGGAGAGAAATTTGCAAGCTTCTGAGATCCATGAAAATATATAACTTTTTTTCCTGTTAGCTGCAAATAAAACACAACTATGTTAGGAGATCTGGCACAGTATTCTGAAATTGAACACCACTGAATTGCATACTGCAGATAGTCTGATGCTGTTAGGTTACTTACTTTGAGTGAAATCCAGATCTCACTGACATTCAGGAGTGATTTTGCCTCTATCTTTCTAAGCAGACCAAATGAACTCCAACTTTAAAAAGTCTAGGCCCATACACACAACTGAGAAGTTATTGGCAAGCCAGGCTGAATACTTTCAACCAGTTGTTATGCATATGCAGTCCAAACAATAGTATATTGTGTATGTGGAAACGCTGTGCAAGTCTGAGCTCTTTACTGCTTCTGTGTCTTTTGATGTTAAGCAGCCACTTCTTTTAAAACCTATGCTACTAAATTACAGACTGTTCTTACAAATCAGTAACAAAAGCAAAGAGAATCTAGAGAATATCAAGGTAATACAAGTGCAGCTACACCTGTCAAATGTAACCTGACTTGCTTTTTATGTGCTGTTGCTTAAATGAGTGTAAGAAAAACAGATAAATAACAGCAGATGAGGAAAAGGGCAAAGGACAATAGAAGTATCTTGGGAAAACAATACAACAAAGCATCTGTTTTTTTTCAGGTCTCTAAATGGCTGACATGCAGAGTACAGTTCTTTTCCAACCTTTTTTCTTTTAATGCTTCCAAATAGCTTAAATATATTCCATCTATGCTTAGAGAAAATAATGAACTGACGAATAGATGATACTTTGAAGGGATTAACTGTTTGCTGCAGAAGAAACTTGATCAACTGCAAAATAACCTAAAAACTGAGTGAACTTATTATTCACAGATCCTGTCCAACAGAAAAGCAATATAGTCAAAATTAAGTAGTCTTTCTTTGAAAATTGTAGTGATTTTGATAAACAGTGCTGTCAAAGCAACAAACGTGAATGCCACAAACTAGATCATTCACTTTCATGTGAGGTTTACAAGGTTTCTTGTGAGAATACTTCATAGTTAAAGTATGTCGTTCTTGGGGATCACACAAGCATTTCATTTTTGTTTTGGCATTGGGCCCATTGTGTTTATGAGGTTCTTTGGAGAAGTGGAATTGATTACCATAAAGGAAAAAATGAGAATTATTTATTTTAAACCATGATTATAACCTTTCAAGATTTTTCAGAAAAAAAACCTATGCTTTCTTCTAGATATATATGAATAAAAGGGGACTTTGCTGGAAAAAAAAAAAAAAAGCTTTAGAGTTCCATATTTAGCCTATCAATATCAGGCTTTACATTGTAGGCTTATTTATCATGCTATAGTGATATCCTTTGCTGTTTTGCCAGTTACGCTAAATACCATGTCCTACATTTTCTTGATCTACAATACACAGTATTTTTGTTGGCAACCAGAAGACTGCAGGTAAAACTTCAACTCAGTTGAGTATTTTCATTTTTTTTACATAAACTTTTAAATTATTAATGAAAATTTAATAAACTTTTTATTAATCTTGATTTCTCATCTATCACATTTTTAAATTTACACTACAAATACAAGCATACCTTTAGGACTTCTGCAAAAGTCCTAAAGACTATGCAGTGGAGCATGGACTTACAGGTACAAGCCATGCAAGTGAAACTTTGCTGTGGCAGGTCTGCATGATACTGGCAGAACTGTGTGATGTGTGTTGCTATAGCTTTTGTCCTAAGTGATTTGCAAGCCACGCTTTCTGATAATTTTTATGGATTCTGGGCACAATCAGTTATATTTTATAGTGAAAGACTAATTTTCTTTTACTGTAACTTGTGGGAGATTTAGGCACTGTAGGCCTAATCTTGTTTAGTCCCATAAAGCTCTAGGCTAGGCATCCTTTACTGCACCAGAAATACTGAAAAATGGATATGCTCAATGTATGACAGTCTCAATTGGTGCATTCCAGGAGCAGGGAGTTTAAGTGAACACTACTATACAGAAGCTGCAATGTTAGCAGTGTAATGTGAGCAAAGAACATCCATTCTGCTGCTTACTAGGTGTTTTGGTTTAAGCCCAGCCAGTAACTCAAATCATGCAGACAAACATGAAATTTACCTCAGGGATCTATGGCAATAAACTTGATAAAGTTCTGATACTCTAATACATATTAAATGAATGTTAAATGAATGTGAAATCGGTTAAATCCTAAGTCACCTGGTAATAAAAAAAATCCAATGTGATTGTTGACCCCATACGTCAAGTGTCATATTCTGTTCAATTTGTCTGGGATTTTTTCCCTTATCCTTTTTCCTCTCCACTGCCTTGCTCAGAGAAGACACAGCAATATTTGCACAGCAGAAAATATCAATTTTCACTCAAAATGAAAAACTTGTTACTGTTGTGCTGGCAAATCTGTTGATTTCAACATTAGCCTTTAAAGTAACTCAGTTGTCTACATTCCATTTTATACCATATGCCTGTTGACAAAGGATTTCAGAAGTATAAAATGCAGGTTTTTTTGTTTATGCAGGAATGCTAAATGCTCTAGTGCAAAGAATATACAGTGGATTTTACTAGATATTGACGACCTCTTATAAAGAAAAGATCTGTTTATGAATTCATTATCATATTTTCACACTTTTATGATATATCAGTAATTGTTTGATTCTTGATTTTGGCATTTCCTCTCCTCAACTGTAAGACAATGTTATATTTCAGAACTGTTCTTCAGTCATCTGGTAGCTAGATTCTACTATCTATTTCCTCTGCTTTCTTCACTTTGAAATGTAAGTTTTATATAATCAGTTCTGAGAATACCTTTCCAATGTCAAATATAAGATGCATGTCTTTGGAGTGCATATGGCAAAAGTCCAAAATGAAGAACAGTAAAAAGCGAATGATGCCAAAAATATATGAAATTAATTTCTTAACTGTACAGGTCTTCTGTAACTTCAATTTCTAAAAGTAACATTTTAATGAACAATTTTCATTAAGCCCTGCAGTCTGTACAAAAGTTAAGCTGAGATGGAACATGTTAAAAAAACAAAACCAAAAACAAACAACCCCTCTCCCCCAAACCATAATGAAACAAGAAGGATAATGAGTGCCAAAAGAGACAATGTCAAAATCTAGGTTTTTGACATTATCATCCAAGAAAATAAAATTCTTGCATTTTCTACTCTAATGATACAATGCTTTGCAAGGCTATGGCATGGCTGGTAAGGTGAATAGCATTCACTCAAAACTGGCACAAAGCAGACTATGTCATTCATACTTTTGCAATGTTTTCATAAATTCGCTCTCAGCTACATCCACAGCAATTTCACTGACAATGACACTATAATCAAAGTCCTGCTAAGCAGGCTTAAAATTTTTTAACCTGATTCCTTTTCAGCTTCTGGCTTTCCATGACAATTATCAGACTGCCATTTGTCAAGCTGATGCCTGTTTTGTTGGCATAGTTCACACATGGCAGCTAATTCTGCTGGGTTCTTGTTTGGCTGAGTCTAATCTCTTGGAATTGAAGAGTCAGCCAGACTCGGTGTACCGTATACAATGGAAAAGGCTGCTTATGAAAACTACCAGAGAAGCACTATGTTAGTGGACCCTGATAAAGAAGATTAAGAATATGTTCTCCTAGTCCCTTCTCTCATGGTCCTGACTTGAAAGTTGTTGGTTAGTTGCTCTCTAAAATGTTTTTGATAACTCTCCTCCTTCTTCTGTGTGCTGAAAATGACAGAAACATAAGTCTGCAAATGCCAGGTACTCAAGTTCAAAAACACTTAGGGTTTACTTTCAAACTCTGTTCTGCAAATTGTGTAGAAACGCATTTTTTAAGTGAACAGATCGATTTCCTTAGTCACGTGATTCTAAGAACTGCTTTTTTTCATTAAAAACTCTGTTGTAGTACAAAGAGCACAGCTAAAAACATTGTGTCTTCCATATTGCCTACAGTAAATATGTCTACAGCATTTTAACAATGAAACCTCTGAGATCTCTCTCATCCAAGTAAGATCTTCCCAGGTGCATAGCTGCACAATGAACGTCTCTAGTATTTCCTTGCTAATTGTAATAATATGAATCATTCTTGTTTCTGTTTGTTCTTTTAACCAGATAAGATTTTATCCACAACGTAAAGAACCTTGTTCCATTGCTGTAATACCAGTGCTGTACCAAAAGTTGCTCTAACAAGTAAACATCACTGGTGAGAACCTACACACGCCAGTATTCACTTGAGGTAACATTTATGCCATACTGACAGCCATCTTGAAGTCCATCACCTGCATAGACCATGTGCCTTTCATGGCATGTAAGAAACTCACTGTCAGGTCTGTTGTTTCTGCTAAGAAAGCAGCTCCTCTGCAAATGGCTCTCCAGCATGTAATGAACACAAAGTTTACATCAACAAAGGTACCCTGAAGTTTCCTAAATGGAAGGACTATCTCACATAAGTTAGCTAGCTTTGCATACAAACTTCTTAGAGCTGTCATTAGACTACAGAACTCTACCTTTTACTTGTGCTACGAATCAGAGCAACTGCCTCCAGTGCTGACAAAGCAGAGTTGTAGCATGATCTGTAATAACCTACTTTGCAGGTCTTGGTTTTTTTTTGGTTGGGTTTTGGTTTTGGGCTTTTTTTTGTTTGTTTTTTTTTTTTTTGGTGTTGGGTTTTGGTTTTTTTTTGTTTGTTTGTTTGTTTTTTTCTGCTGATTAATTTTCACTAATATGAGTAATGTGAGTTGGTGGGCGGTGCTGTGTGAGGAGGGAATGCTATCAAAGTCTAAGACCTTGTTATGCAGTGGAAGATATGCACAAGCAAGCACAGGGTTTTGCAACATATAAGAACTGTTTATGATTTTACAGCTTATGATTCATATGTAGAAAGGGCAGCAAGAATAATGGTTGCAGTTTTGCAAACTTAAATTGGAAATTATCCTGAATGTTGATTAAACTCTGAAAAGTGATAAGGGCATCTTGAGATCTCTTTTTACTCATCTAAAATGTGTTATTAAGAACAAAAATTAATAATCATGTTTACTACATAAGGCTTGAAGGCAATCAAGTACAGGATTTCCATCATGCTTCCAGATGATAACAACAGCCTACCCCTTCCTTGATTTTCTAACTTGTTTTTCTTCACTTATCTGGATATGGACAGAAAAAATTCCTGCTAGCTGCCCATCCCACACAAGTTTTAAACAAGCAACAAAGAAAAGACAGCATGCCCATAAATGAGATTATTTGCCCACTAATCAATGTATTACTACAAAAATAAGAACTACATATACCTGCAAACACCTGTTCCTGGCCATATATTATTTTGAATTCAGTATTCAGTTTTGGAGGTTTTTTGTTTGTTTGCCTGTCTCCTGTTTTTTTAACCTCTTTCTCTCTATTTCAAAGAAGAAGGTTTCTTAAGTAAACACTGATGTTCTAGACCACCAGCTGTAGTTACTCAGTGCAGAGAAAACATCCTGAAAATCTAACTTTCATCAAGAGGACTCAGAAAAAATGCGGTCTCTGTCTGGGCATTTGAGCAGCAAGCAACACAAAGTATCCTTTTAAAACATCACAAGGTCAAACAGGATTATTATTTAACTTAACTGGTTCCGATCCTGCCATGTCATCATAGGAGATGCACAGATCCTGAAATAAGAGCTTGTTCATGTAACACAATCAGCAAAAGATATATAGTTATCTGCAATACAGAGCTTTTTGCAAGAGTTAACAGCAATCTTTGGAGTAGGTTTAGTTATACTTTCCACTGTATCTGATTCCTTTTTTTTTTTTCTTATGCTTTATTTTTATAGTATAGTGCTCAACCTTTCTTGTACCTATGAGGTCAAAGTATTTGATTCTACAGTGGTAATACCCAAAATTGGAGGTTTGGTAAGATACTGGCTCTGTAATAAGTTAAGATAGAGCAATAGCTTTCAAAAGTCTTTTCAAGAGATCTTTAAATTAATGTCTTTAATTTGGACAGTATGGAAGAACTGAACTGGATGACTGGAAGGAAAGCTATACATTTACCCTAGGGCCATGGATTCTCTTGCTTTGACTTTAATGCTGGGCTATTTAAGTTATTCTTATTGACTCAATAAAAAAATCAGTGCAGTGGGTTTTACTATCTGTAAAGCCAGAAACTGTACATACGATATTGACTGGGTAGAAACAAACATTTTAATTTGGGCTTTCAAAATGATAGCATTAAAAATAACTTCACAAAGGCAAAAATTTAAAACTCCTTAAGTGTGTCAAGAAATTAGTTCCTCGTAATTAGATATTTATCAAACATGAGTGAAAGTATTTGTAAAGACAAAACCCCATGAACTTGAATGGCAGCACACTATGTCTAAGTTATTACATATATATAGATGAAACTTTGAACCATTACACTGGACTTTAAAGTAGATTTTTCTATTGTCTCAAGGGGCAGATAAGCAACCTACTTCCATTTATGTTTTTTTTTCAAATCTTCTACCTTGTAACTCATCCTATTGCAAACTTTGGGGGGGGGGGGGGAGCCAAGGGGGAACACCCCAACAAACAAACAAACAAACAAACAAACAAAAACCCCATGAAACGTCAATATGCAGCCAGGATTTTTTTTTGTTTCTTTTCAAAGTTTTCCTTAACATATTAAACTTCTGAATTTTCCAGACTAATATCCATGGTTATGTACTGAGGAAGTCTTGCTTAATTTGTGAGCTGAAGCTCTTCTGACTGCTTAGCAGACACACAGATATTGATCTGACAAATTCAAATGGAAGCAAAGCTGATACCTGTAGATAATTTTCATTAAAAACAAAACCAAAACCAAACAAAAACAGAAACAGAAAAAAAACCAAAACAAACAACAAAAAAAAACCAAACCACCAAGCAAAAAAAGCAAGCAAATTCTTAAGAAATGTATAGAAAAAGAAGTATGTTTGATTTCTGGGCAAAACAAGCCTGAAAAAGTGACTGGACGATAACCTCCCTCTCACTCTAACTTGCCTAGAATTCATTACTGTATTTTCCATTATGGCATTCCCTTTTCTTAAAAAAATACAAGGGTCTCAAAGTTACTCCTTTTGACATCTGAAATCATGAAGTTATTGAGACTCAGCACACCACAGTAAAGTAAGCATATATGTTATTTCTGGTTGCTAGACTCGAAAATGAGGGTTAGAGAAGCAAGGGAGTAGCCAGACAATTTAATAAAAGGAACATTAAGAATCTTCATTTAATTGCTCTGTTCTAGCCAGCCAAAAATACTCACACACACAAGTAAATACTGGGTCAGGTTCATCTGCAGCCATTTCATTCTGTTCTCTTCCATAAGATTATTTCTTCCTTCTATAAAAAAACAAACAAACAAAAACCCCACCAAACAAACAAACAACAACAACAACAAAAAAACCAAAAAGCCCAACAAACCAAAACACCCCAAAAACAAACCAGAAAGGCAAGTATGAAGTAAGTACATACACACACAGTCTCTCACAGGTGAATGTATCCAAGACGGAAAAAATACCATTGGGTTAGAGATATCATTTAGAAAGACAGCTCTTCCCTTACTTGAGAATCTTTGCAATCAAACAGTGAATACACTTCTCTATAAAGAATTCAGTGATTCTCTCTAACAGTATTATTTATAGCTTTGGTACCTACTCCTCTCATATGGAAATTACTCTAAGTTTTGCTCTGTATTACTCTTTGACAGCTTACAGTATCAGCAATTACTGTAAAACATGAGAGAATTTATAATGATTAACCATTCTGTTCAGTTATTAATTTTCAGCACTTGAAGCTGAGATGGCTTCTAAGTCATTTTTCAGCAACATATTTATGGGATCAGAGAGTGATTAAAAATATAAGAAAGTGCGATGCTTTCAAGTTCCTGAAAAACATATTTCTAGGGATATCACCGATAAACAAAAAAAGCTGTATTTTTGTGCAGTCCTTTTAAACAAAACACTAAAGATTATTTAAACACATACCAACTAGAGGATTATATGTTTTTCTGCCCAAATACCTTTAATCAAATTCCTCTGAAATGTTAACACACATGATTTAAAGATAAACATTTTCACAAGACTTAGACAAAAAAAGTTTTGAAATGCAGCTATATTCTTTACTGATTTGCAAATCATATTCATTTTCCCAGAAAAGTCGTTCCTTAATTCTCCATGTTCTAACAACAGGTGGGAAAAAAAAAAAAAAGAAAAAAGAAAAAAAAAAGGCAAGCATGGGATTTGCTTGTTTAACTGATGAAAATCATTGGAGTTTATGTCAGAAAAAGCTGGATTGGGCCCCTGTAGTTAGTTTTACTTCTGAAGCACTGCTCAAATTTATAAAAGAGAAAAATCATACACAAAAACTATAGGAAAAAAATGTGGATGTATCTTTTCTGTGTTTCATGGGTGCTGAAGTACCTTTGAATGGCAAAGGAAATCGCTTAAATTATTGTAACAATACTACCTACATTGGTAATGGCAGAAGTCATTTGTATCCGCACAAGATATTAAGTATTGCTGAAGAGTGGTAGAAATACAGCGTGTATTTTTAAGGGAAATCAGCAGAGAAATAAAAGGTACAGATTTATCACTTATCCCTGAGACAAGTCTTAAGCTGAGCTCAGTTTCATTATTTTGAGGTACATGATTAATTGATACACTGAAATTCCTTGCAACTACCGAGAAAGTAGGTGTACACCGTACGTTAAAGACTCCTTTACACAGTGGAGCTCGAGATACAGCAGCCACAGAAGCTTATCAGAGGCAGTTTCACTTACTGTGCCCTACATACTATTTTTTTCCTGAAGACTTTCTCAAAATGGTTTAACTGATGTTGAATCACTTGTTAATGGTCTTTACCTTTCTGCCAAATTAAGGCTAATGCCAGAGGCCATAGGTATACAGAAGCAGTTTACAACTATGACATCAATAATTGTTTAATCATGTAATCATGGAAATGGAGAGTGGAATAGATGCTGACATGCTTCTGGGTGTTGGGTATTTGACAGGTTCACACAAATTCAGTCTGATGTAACAAAAAGCTCACCCTCTGTTCATTAATGTATTGCTTTTTTTTTTTTACTTGCAGAATCAATTTACTTCATATTTTGAGTCCAAAGGATTTATGTCTTTGTATTGTTTATAAACTAATAAGATGCAGCCACCTACAGCATGCTTGCTACGTAAAGCAGGAGAAGGAAAAGATATCTTCCTGCTATAGTTAGTTCTTTCTGGAGTGGTTTGGGTTTTTTTTTTTGTTATTAATAGTTTGAGTCGTTTTGCACAGCTTTGTGTTAAACAAACCCCAGACCACCACAAACAACGAGTTCCCCTCCCCCCCCAAAAGACCAACCAAAGCCAAAAAAAAAAAACCCACACCCAAAGAACCAACAAAAAAACCAAAAACAAACAAACAAAAAAACCCCCCCACAAGTACTACATCTCTGCAAGTATATATATATATATACTTATATACTAGATTAAGCTCTGACTTCACTATTAAAAGGTGCTTTAAGTTGTACAAAACAACCCCTCATTCTTTTCCTGTGATAATTCTCACAAGGCACGAACAAAGGGAAAAAAAAAAAAAAATTATTAAGTTTTTTTTACAAATGTGCCTGAGGAGATTCTTCTGAGGTAAAAAAAAAAAAAAAAAAAAAAGTTAATTATTCTGCCTTCTGTAATGGTAGTGACTTCCACATGTCTGTTGGTGCCGGGAGAAAAAGACTAAGGAGACATTAGATGTGCCCATTCCTATTTAAAGAACTCAGTTCAAAGATAGGAAAAAAAAAAAAAAAAAAAGAAAAACAAAAACCACTGTTTTGTTTGGGGTTTTTTAAATGAAAAGGAACGAAAAAAAGTTCGGTTTTATGGTGCCTGTAATACCTGAAGTATTCAGCTGATGTACTTTGAATCCTAGTGAGGCTAACCCATAGACATCAACACGTTAAAAACAAGCCTAAAGGAGACCACAGGGAGACGAAATTTAGCCAAGTTTTTAGGCCTTTGATAATTAAGATTTGCAAATCGTACAGATCCTTCGATAATACATATATAGATTAAAAAAAAATAAACCAAGGGATTGATTCGAGGAGAGGAGAGAGACGCAGCGGGACGCAGAGGAGCGGAGCTCGGAGGACAGCACGGGGGAGGGGAAAAGCACACGGGAGCGCGGAAAAGCACACGGGAGCGCGGAAGAGCCCCGTGTGCCGCCAGCCTCGACCGCTAGGGGGAGTTGGGGCGCTTCCGATGGCGGCGAGGCGGGAGGAGCGGGCGGTGCAGTCCCCAGGCCCCGGCCGCCGTCACCCCGGCAACGCGGCGGGGCGGAGCCTGCTGCGGCGGGAGCCGCTCACCTGCTCGCGCTGCGCTGTGCTGTTGTCCGCGGCCGGGGCCGCCTCCCGCTCCTGCTCTGGTGCGGTGTCTCCGGCTCCCGCAAGAGGGGTGACCGGCCGCTGGTGCCGCCCTGCGGGGGGGTCAGTGGGGAAGGAGTTTTGTTTTACGGCTGCGTTTCTCGCCGCAGCGTTCTGCATAGCAGAAGGAAACTCATCCGCACACAGCCCGCTTAAAACCCCATTGCGGCGTCCGGCGCTAAAACGGTTACCTTCAGCAGCAAGGGCTGCAGAGGAACCACTCCGACGTCTCAGTAATTCAATTAGTCAGGTTTCTAGAAGGTGGAGTTGGGTGTTTTTTTTGGCATGGAGGGGGAGGAGAAGCCTGGGACAACGCCTCCTTTCTCGTGTTTCGAGCCAATGGCGTCGATGTATTAAAAAAAAAAAAAAAAGAAAAAAATCCCAATCTGTAAGCAAACAGCAGGCTGTGCGCTGAGTGGCTGCGCGGGCTGACCCCCCCTTCCACAAGTAAACTGCATGCAAAAACCCCACATGATCGAGCAGCAGCGCTCGTGCTCCGGGCCGGCAGCCCGCACCTCCACCTCCTCCTCGCCTCCTTCCCTCCAGCACACCGTCGCCAGCTCCCGCCTCGGATACACGCGCGTGCATGTATGTATGCGTGCGTACCTCCGCGCACCGCGTTCCGCCCGCTGCGGCTGCCTCGGCTGCGCACACGCGTGCACCTCTGCAGCGCAGCGCGCCAGTCTCCGAGCGGTTCCAGGTTGCTGATGTCGGATTTACACGCAGTGAAGGGACCGGTCATTGCAAAAGGGGGCGTGACTGCTTAAAGGGGGGTTTGCCCCCTCCCATAAAGCAATTTTTTTTCTCTTTTTTTTTTTTTTCTCCCAAGACTGACTTTTGTCCCTCCAATCCTCGTAGCTCCTTATGATCCCTCCCTGCCTGCCGCCGCATTCAAGTTTATTTATTTGCCTGCTGGCGTGGTGTATTTTTCCTCGCTGCTCTTGCTGTTGCTTCAGAGGGAAAAGGGGAGCAGCTGTTGGGCAAGACCGAGAAGAAGAACTGGGTTTCTTCCCCTCCACAGCTCTCCCCCCCCCCCCCCCCCGCGATCTCCTTATGTAGTCATCTGAGGGGTGGATTCTTTCTCTCACCCCCTCCCTGCTCTTTCAAACTGTTTTGTCCTTCCGCAGAAGTTCATGTTCCTGGACTGGACCCTGCTTTATCACAGAAAGGTTCCGGGAGACTGAAGGAGGAGATTTCCGCACGCCGCCGTATCGCTCCGTTCGTACCCCTAGCAGGAGAGGCGAGCCAAGACCAGCACCATCAGAGAGAGGAGTTTGCAGGCTTGATTTTCTACTCCGAGGTTCTGCTTCTTTTCCACGCCCTCTCATAAAACAGATTTTTAAATTTCCATCTCCTTGGCTTCCACGCCGCAGTATTTCTTGGATTGGCCGTTCTTTTTTTTTTTTTTTTTTTTCCCTACCCCACTCCTTTTTTTTCCTTCCTTTTTTTTTTTTTTTCTTTCCCTTCCGCCTTCGCTGTTGCTCAGCCCTTGGTGCATCCACCGCCCAGGAACAGGAAGGACAAGAAACCACTCCACGAAGTCTGCAAGACGCGCTCTGTGCTGCAGAACAGGCTCCCCAACTCCATCAGCGCAGCAAACAAACTCCTCAGGGCTTTCGCTTCGCTCACCCTCTCCCTCCCCCCCCCCTTTTTTTTTCTTCTTTTTTCCTCTTTTTTTAAATTTTATTGTTTGTTTTTAATTTGGTGAGGGGCAGGAAGGAAAACATAAACTTTGTACTTTTAAGATCTGCTGGTACTTCTCGCCCCTCTGCCAGCCTTTAATACACTGCCAGGACCCCCCCTGGGCTTGCAGGGTAAAGATCTCCTTCCCTTTCCTTCCTCCCCTCTCTCTTACCCGCTCTCTCGCTCGCTCGCTCCCCCTGAGCGTCCCCCGAGCCGCGGGGCCGCTCGCAAGGGGCTGAGGAGCGGCGCTTCTTGGCCCGCCTCGCCGGCGGCCCGGTGTATGTCGTGGCGCGGGTTCCGTGCGGGACTCCCGGTGAATGAGCACCGCCCGCCTCTTGCCGCCGCCGCCGCCTGCCTTGGCCCCCACTATCCCCCGCAGGGGTGAGGCTCCCTGAGGGACCGCGGATCGCGCTTCCCTGACGGCTGCACGTCTGCGGCGGCGGGCGCTCGGTGCGGAGCCGGCCCTCCTTTTGCACACCGCTTTTTATTTATTCACCCCGTCGCCTCCAGCGCCCCGGCTCGGTCCCGTGTGCGCCCTCCCCGCTTGCTTTTAGTTTTGCTTGTTTTTATCACCCCGTCTTTCTCCATCTCTCCGCATCCCGCCTCGCCGCGATGCCGCACGTGGAGATGCTGCTGCTGGCGGCCGCGGCGCTGTGGGTGTGCGTGCGCGGGCAGGAGCCCGGCGCCAAGGCGGTGGCCGACCGCTACGCCGTGTACTGGAACAGCACCAACCCCAGGTACGCGGGGCGGGCGCGGAGCGAGCAGAAACTGCCCCAGCTGGAAGCCGGGGAAAGGAAACTTTATTTTTAGGAGGGTCCTAGATACAGGCAGCGACGGGGGGAAGGAGGACGGAGGCGGTGGCATTTTTCTTCTCTGTGCTCCCGTCACTTTCTCCGGGCTCGGCAGGCACCGGGCGGATGCGGCTCCGGTGCGCCGTGGCCAGCGGGAACACAGGCGCCTCCGGGAATTGGGGCGGAATGAGGGGACGCGGGCGGCGGCCGCCCTCCGGCGGGCTGCTGCCTCAGGCGAGGCGCATTCCCGACGCAGGGGTCTCCTTTCCCGGCGGGACGGAACATAGCGGGGCGGCCGGCCGCGGCTTCGCTGCAGCCGCTGCCGGGTTCGCTGTCAGCTGCGGCGGAGGGGTGTCTTTCCCCTGGCCCTGCCCTGCCTTGCCCTGCCCTGCCCGGCCGGCGGGGGGCTCTCCCGGTCAGGCTGAGGTACCCGTGAGCGGCGAATTAGGTACGGAGCCAGGGGCCGGGACTGACGGCTCTCGGCCGGTGTCCCCGGCGGGGTGAGCGGTGCTGCAGAGCCTCCCCGCACACGGGCTCGCTGGAGGGTTTCCGACAGCAGGCTTAGCACGCGGTTCATCGAGCCTTCTGCTGAAAACGGAGGCTTTATTAATTTTTTTCTGGAGTTTTCCCTCATGTTTAGCATCAGAAATTTTCAGTCCTGCTCCAAATGGTATCCATGTGTTTGCATAAAGGGCCACCTGGGTATTATATTTTCCCTTGTTAAAGTGCTTGTGAGCAAACTCACCTTTTTTTTTTAATATAACTCTCGCCACCCCCCCGAGAGAAAAAACGCCAAATCCACACCCCCCCCACCCCCCCCACCCCCCGTCTAGCTAGTCTGAGTAAATCTGGGGACATTTTATCTTAGTTTATCTCTTTTTTACACTTCTGATACTGCTGTTTGGTTTGAGATTAGTACATTGATTTTTGTCACAGGTCATGTTTTTTAATAGATCTGTGTTGCCTGCAGAAAACTACTCTACTAGGGTATTCCAGGGTAGCTTCAAAATAGGTGATGCAGAAGTTAACGGGCAGAATTTTCAAGTGCCCAGACTTAGCTAGTCTGCCCAGCACTTTAATGTTGTGATCCTGGTAACAACGCCCCAGTGATAAGTAGTTGACAAAGAAAGCTTGAGACAAAGATTTGTCCAAAGTAACAATCGTGCCTGGGAATGATGAGCTTTCATATTTCCAAACCCCTCTCTCTACATTTTCCTTGTTTTACACGTTACTTAAAAAAAAAAAAAAAAAATTCAGGGCAATAAGGTGAAAAGTTACATCTCACATCAAAGAACACATTTCTCAAAAAATTGCTTGTCTCTCGAAACCAGTGTTTTTTATGTTCCTCTTAAGCAAAATGAAATTAACTGGTGACTGGGTGGGTGGATAAGTAAAATTCACAAATTCCACTGGGCAGAATGAGGATTGTTGAAATAGTTCTCACTAAATGCACATGTTGCTGGTGTAACAGCTAAAATACTTAAAAAATAGCACTGCATTCAAGACTTTTTCACTTCTGCTGTGTTGTGTGTGATGTGCTTGCACAGTAACTGCACATAGATAAAGGTAGTTGAAGATACAAGGAGCGCTTACCTAGTTGGTAGGTATTATGCATTGAATGGTTTTGTAAGGATTCTAGTAAATTTAATCTTAATACCATGAATGAAATTTCTTCTTAGTCCAGTATTAAACATCAGCAGACTACAAAGAAAAGGTAGTTTTGTTGCTCTTGCAAATACTAGAGAAAGAGTGAATTACATTTCTAAACCCTCTCTTAAAAACAAATTTGTCTAAATATTCACTGTGCTCTCACAGTGCAGGTATGTATTTGGACATGGTATGTTTATCTGTGAGCGCAAAATATGAGAAAGAGCAGGGTGCAGATGTATTTCTCCTTTGCTTTACACAGTGTGCCAGTTTTTGTGTGTTTTCCATGATCACTGCAGAAAAAGAGACAAACACCTGAATTGTAGGTGTAAGAGACCGAAACAAAATAAAATCCTCCTGTTTGAATTCGTTTTTGTTAGAATCTAAGCTGAAAGCAAAATCCAATTTGGTTATCAAAATTGTCAAAACAGTTAACAGTGTTGTAGGAATAACTTTGCAGTGATTTATCTGCAGAGACAGATTCGGGAGAGTAAAAGTCTGGTTTTTATATACATGGAAGTAAGTAGGGATGCTTTACTTGGTGATAACCATTTGAAATTAGAAGACAAAACATACTGTCATTTGTTAAACACAAATTGTGCTTTAGCTTGCATCTTTATTGTATTTACTCAGAATTAATAAACTGCTGTAGAAATAATTCACTTTAAAAATGAAATGTTCATCATTTTGACAATGATTAAAGGCACTCTAAGGTTTCATCAAAACTTTGAAGAATTTTGCAATGATTGTACTTTCCTCAGGTGCAATATTATTTAGTTTTTCAGCATGGAACTCTAGCAACTTATTGAAATTCATAAATATCTCATCCTTTTTAAAAGGCACATTAATAAATTGATGACTAGCCCAATTCATAAGTCTTCCTGCTGTGAACAATATTTGGTAAATAAAAAAAATAATCCTAAGACCCTATTAGCAAAGTTCATATTACATTTCTTGGTTAGTTGCCAAAGTTCTGCTAGAACAATTAAAAATGTTCTGTGATCATTAGCATGTAGAAATATCGAAGTTGCATATTCTTACAGATCTTAAGTCTGTTGTTAGAAATATTGTAAGTATTCCTGTACTTTATTTTTCTTATGTATTTAATTATCAATATACATGAAGTACCATAAATACCTTAGTCCAGTTCCAGGTGAGAATATGTTAAGTATTAGGATCCTAAAGTATAATGAAACAAGGGGTCTTAATAATTATTTTTTTCTTATCGGAAAAAAATCTTAAGTAAGCTTGAAAATGTGTTCTAATGTATTTTTTGTTATTTATGTAGGCTTAGAATTAAGTGTACATAAATTCTAATTATTGTCTTAAAGTGCATTAGTCTTTCAGCACTGTTTGCGTATGTGCTCTTGTATTGGGAAGCAAAATGTTGTTGTCAAAGAATGTTATTTGAATCCAACACTTAAAATAGTTTGTAGAGTTACTTTTGTAGTGGAGCATATTCGCTTAGTCCTGATTACTAGTGTCCTTGTAGTTAGAATGTATCCGAAATATCATGTACCTGAGCCAAATTTTGAAGCAGTCTACTTGCTTAGTGCTTGCTATTGCGCTTAATCTTGTCAGAGTTCAAGCCGAACTACCTGTAATTGTTGCTACATTTTTCTGCTTGCAGGGTTGTTGCTTCGCTATTGTGTTTTATACTTAGGTATTTCCCTCTAAGTTGTTTCAGTGGCAGGTTATGCAGCTTCAAAAATTGTTAGAAGTTTCAAGGCGGGTACAAGTACTTTCATTTCAAGTCTAGTTTGTGGTCATACATAGAGGCCAAATCTTGTAGTCTCATGAAAGCAAATATTTTTTTATTAGAAGTATTATTGGATTTGTCTGTATCTTATACAGGAAAATAGTGTATAAAGTTACATCCACAAGAGAACTATAAAGACATAGGATGCTGATATATTTTCTCCCTGTGTATTTATGTGGGTAATAAAATAAGGAAATTAGGTGGTTATTAGAGAATTTAGATACTGAAAAATCGTTTAACTGGTGAGTTTCTATAATTAAGCTGTTTACCACAATTTGATCATTATTGCTAGAGATGTAGTGTTTTGTAGGGTTTTGGTTTTGTTTTTTTTTTTTTTTTTAAATGCTAGATATTTGGGAGCAGTGAACAGAAAAATGAATGCATGCTTCTGAAAGTTCTATGTGTAGACCAGGATTTCACAATGGATGTTTAAACACAGGTGGATTATGTAGCTGAGTATTCAGGCACTT